CCTCTCACAGTCTGGGACCCCTCGGGGACTGACCACCTGCTGGCTTAGGCCCGCTCCCTGGGGGATTGGGCTTAAGCTGGCAGTCAGACATCCCTCTGGCAGCCCGGGAGCCCTCGGGGGATGTCCACTTTCCAGCGGGGAGAAGGCCTAAGCTGCAGTCAGACATCCTTAGCACTGCTGAGGAGGCGGGAGAGGCTCCCGCCACCACCGCTGTGCTAGCAGCTGTCAGCCTGGCTTGTGGCTGAGCAGAGCTCCCCTTGTGGGAGCGCACTGACCACCAGGAGGCAGCTCCTGCATTGAGCGTCTGCCCCTGGTGGTCAGTGTGTGTCATAGTGACCAGTCATTCCCAGTGGTTCTGCTGTTAGGGTCAATTTGCATATTACCCTTTTATTATATAGGATAGAGGCCTGGTGGTGGCCGGCTTGTTTGCCCTGAGGGTGTCCTGGATCAGGGTGGGGGTCCTGCTGGGGTGCCTGGCCAGCCTGGATGAGGGGCTGAGGCCGTTTTCAGGCTGGCCACACCCCCTTCAGGGTGGGGGTTCCTACAGGTGTGCCTGGCCAGCCTGGTTGAGGAGCTGATGTCTGTTTGTAGGCAGGTCAAGCCCCCCAATGGGGACCCTCACCCCATGGGAGTGTGGCCAGCCTGGTTGAGGGGCTGATAGCTGTTTGCAGGCTGGTCAAGCCTCCCAATGGGGACCCTCACCCCATGGGAGTGTGGCCAGCCTGGGTGAGGGGCTGATGGCCGTTTTCTGGCTGGCCATGCCCATTGGCTAGAAGCAGGTATCTTGGATTTATTTATCTCCTATAATTGAAACTTTGTAGCCTTGAGTGGAGCGCAGGGCCGGCCAGGGCAGGCGGGAAGCTTGGCTTCCTCCATCGCCGGGGGCAACCCAAGCCTCCTGCTGCTCCAGCTCCTTGGCCGCCGCCATCTTTGTGACAGAGTGAGGGAGTGACGGAGTGGGGGAGTGATGGTTAATTTGCATATTATTCTTTTATTAGGTAGGATGACTGCATTTATGTTATTTAATGTTTAAGAGTAGCTCTTTTAGAGCTCTTATTTTACAATTGACCTTGGGGAAGGAAAGTTATGTTTAGCTTCACTGTAAACCATTATCTATTTGATCAGTAAATATTAGGGGGGAATAGTATTCTTAGATTTTTAGAGGTTTTATTTTAAAATAGACATTGGGGGAGGAAAACTGATGTGTCTGACTTTATCATAACTCATTGTCTATTTGACCAGTAGATACAGGGATTAAACAGTATTCTGACTCAGCAATATTGGGGAAAATGAACCATTACAGAAAAGACAGGGAATCCAAAGACTGAGAAACAGCGATCAGGCTATCAATCCCCAGAAGGAAAGTAGGGGAGGGCGGGGGTAAGGGGAAGAGATCAACCGAAGGACTTGTATACATGTATATAAGCCAAACCAATGGACATGGACAACAGGGGGATGGGAGTATGAGTGTGTGTGGGGGGGGGGGGAGGTTGGGGGTTAATGGGGGGGATGAGGACACATTTGTAATACCTTAACTAATGATAAAAGAAAAAAAAAAGAAAAGACAGGGAATCTATATAATTCTAAGAGTGGAAATAAAAAAATAAGAGGAGGGAAGAAATGTTATGGTTTTAACTGACCTTTGGGATTTGGAGTCCACTGAACTCTGTTGGTTGGCATCTCTATTGCCCATATATGGATCCTAAATGGACTGTTTCCCTTGTCTCAGCCCCATCCACACTCTGTGAAGGCAAAATCTCTTTGAGCTGTGACACACAGAATTTGGGTGAGACGCCAACATAGGGTTCCCCTTCACAGCTGCTCCTCGCCCACTTCCCTGGCATTGGGAAGGACCCCACATCCCATCTCAGTGCCCCTACCCAGCCTGACCTTGCTACGCTTCTATGCACAGGACAGTGCCCAGTCTTCCTCCCTTTTCTTTCTGGCCAACTCACATTTGCCCAGTGAGATTAAGAAACTCCCCAGCGCCGTTTCACTTTGTCAAATTAAAAATTATGCCCTTCTGCGAAGTGCCCATACCTTTCTTTAGCTGTTTTTTTATTTTGTTTTGTTTTAAATTACATTCACTTTTAAAAGGTTACTTCCTGATGCTGTATGCCATCCCATCAGATTGGCAGAAGGACTTGGTAAAACAGCACCTGGTTCCTTGGTGAGAAGGAGTCACCTCTCCACCCACCCCACCCCACCCCCATCCACCCCCACCTTTGAAGCAACTCAGCAAAATATTCAGAGAACTGGGCTACACTATGTTAGAATTATCAACAAAGGACATGACACATACTGAGGAAATTATAAAATGTGTGTCACATACAAAAAGTATGTAAGATGCAGCCGCCTTCTCTCAACACAGGCTCAGACCCAGCCCACATGCAGGCTTTGTGCTCCTTGGCTGGGAAGGCAGTAGAGATGCTGCTAGACTTTTCAGTTCCCTGTAAAATAGCACTTGATTGCATTGTCACTGCAGTAGCAATGTCACTTTATTTGGCCTGAATTTTCATTATAACATTCTTATATCATTATAGATTTCAGTTATGCTTTAGAAGTGCTCTTTTCCAAATGTATAGATTAGCTTATTTAATGAACCTGCTAGATTGCGTGGCCTGGGGGAAGGGTCTGTCCAAAAGAGCTTGCCTTTCATCTCAACAGCAACATCTACCCCGGAGAGATGAGTCAATTGCCACATTTTCTCCTCCCTCAATAGCTGCCTTTGAATTTTGATTCACTGGCTCAAGGTGCTCTGCAAATTCAACTTATAAATCAGTCCTGGAGACCTTGTTTGTAGTGGAAATGAGGGGCGGGCTTGGTTGACCCTCTTGATTCTCCAGCCCTGGTAGGGATGAGGTTCCTAACCCTGGTCATCACTCTGCCTACACTGCACATGAGCTGGGTGGGGACCCCCATCAGCTGCTCTTTGCGAGCGGTTCTTCGGATCTAGTGGCCTTTGCTTATTCACAGAGGATGGCTCCTCCCTTGAACTCTTTCATTTCATTTCTTTTCCTTCCCAGATATCTCTTGCTTTTTCCACAGCACGTTTCCCAATCATTTTTTAACACTTTAGCTTGCTAATGCTGGACATTCCTAGCTCTAAGTTCTGCTTTAAATGTGGTTCATATTCTACTTCTTTTCCTCCAACAGAATGAATGAATATTTGGAAAACCAGCCTGTCTTAATTGTTATCATATTTCACATCTTATGCTCCAAAACAATTATCCCATTTTATCTGAAAGTATAAATAACATGTAGCTTTATGAAAGAACCTATTACAGAAGATTTTTTAAATCTTTCTTCCTGAAGAAAAGGAAAGAGAGAGGAACATAGGCATAAAGAAAATAAAAATGGCAATAAATACCTATTAAAATAACCTTAAATGTAAATGGATTAAATGTTCCAGTCAAAAGACATAGGGTGACTGAATAGATTAAAAACACACACACACACACGTGACCAATATATATGCTGTCTACAAAAGAGACCCATCTCAGAACAAAAGATACACACAGACTGAGAGTGAAAATATGGAAACATATATTCCATGCACATGGAAAGGATAAAAAAGGGGGGGTAGCAACACTCATATCAGACAAGATAGACTTCAAAACAAAGGACATAACCAGAGACAAAGAAGGCCATTAATAATACTAAATGGAAGGATTCAATAAGAAAATATAACCCTTGTAAACATATATGCTCCCAATATAGGAACACCCAAGTACTTAAAAAAAAATATTGATGGACTTTAAGGGAGAGATTGACAGCAATACAGTCATAGTAGGGGACTTTAACACCCCAGTGACATCACTAGATAGATCTTCCAGACAAGGAAACAGAGGCCTTAAATGACACACTTGATCAGATGGATCTAACCAATATTTACAGAACATTTCCCCCAAAGCAACAAAATATACATTCTTCTCAAGTGCACATGGAACATTCTCAAAACGAGAACACATGTTAGAGCACACAGCAAGTCTATACAAACACAGGAAGCTTGATATAATAGCAAGCATCTTCTCAGATCACAATGGCATGGGGTTAGAAATCAACTACAATAAAAAACCCACCTCAAAAACACTCAAATACATGGAGGTTAAATAGCATGTTATTAAACAATAAACAATGAATGGGTTACCAATGAGAACAAACAAGAAATTTAGAACTCCCTGGAAACAAGTGAAAATGAACACACAACCACCCAACACCTATGGGAAACAGTGAAAGCAGTCCCGAGAGGAAGGTTCATAGCACCGCAGGCCTCCCTCAAGAAAAAAGAAAAAGGACTAATAAGCTATCTAACCTTACAATTACTAGTAAATGACTTCGAAAGAGAACATGTGGGTCGTGACCATCGGAAAACACATATAGCATATCAGATATTTACATTGCGATTCATAACAGTAGCAAAATTACAGTTATGAAGTAGCAACGAAAATAATTTTATGGTTGGGGGTCACCACAACATGAGGAACTGTATTAAAGGGTCGCGGCATTAGGAAGGTTGAGAACCACTGGCTAGAGGAAGTACAAGTAAGGAAATAATAAAGATCAGAGTGGAAATAAATGACATAGAGACTTTAAAAAAAGTACAAAAGATCAATAAATCCAAGAGCTGGTTCTTTGAAAAAATAAACAAGATTGATGACCCCCTAGCCAGACTCATCAAGAAATAAAGAGAGGAGACCGAAATAAGTAAAGTTAGAAATGAAAGAGGTGCTATAACAACGGACACCTGTGTATGTCCTTTCATACCTGACAAATGAGCTCATATTGGAGAGTCAGATTCTAATGTCCAGAAAGCATAGGCTACATTTTATTTCTTTTGAAAAATGATTTTCTAATAAATACCCGTTTCTGAATGTTAAAGAACAACAGTAACCAAAACATGTATTAAAGTTTTCTTCCAGGCCATTCTCTCAAACATTTCCTCCCTGGACAGCACGCTGAGGCCCAAGCCAATCTCCCCATGTCTGTGTTCTGTGCAGGTTGTTCGATTACCACGGCCGCGTGCCTCCACCTCCCCGCGCGGTCATCCCGCTGAAGCGCCCCAGGGTGGCTGTCTCGACGACTCGCCGGGGAAAAGGGGTCTTTTCCATGAAAGGGGGGTCGAGATCTGCCGCCAGCGGGTCCTCTTCATCAGGCTCGAAATGTAAGTAGCCTCCTTCATCTCCTTTTTTTTTTTTTTTTGAGCTAAGTGGTCCTTCATCTCCTTTAAAGAGGGTGGGGGTAGATACATTGCGTGAAGCCTGTGTCAGCAGGTTGCCACACAAGCACAGAGTGTCTGCTGTGCACTAAGTACTAGAGGAAAACTGGTAAGAAATGGGTCACTTCCCAGCACAGACGCAGGCGTGATTGACGAAACCCAGGAGCACTTTGAAAACTTTGATCTGAGCAAATAACGAGCTGTTGGCCCCCTTAGCTTGTGGCGTTTAAAGTCCTGAAGCAGAACATGTTGCTTTCAGTGAATGAACAATTTCCCTTCTGAATAGAGTGCATATACTACCTTTCTAGAGGAACATTATGCAAAATCCGTGCTTGTGTGAGTAATTGAAAATGCATTAGGATCATGAAGATAGGCAAACGGCATAGTAGAGATGATAAAAGTGTAACTTGCCATCCTACTCTAAGTCATTATAGAGTTACTAGAGGCCCAATGCGTGAAATTCATGCAAGAGTAGGCCTTCCTTCCCCCAACTGCCGGCACCAGCTTCCCTTGGCACCCAGGACCTGGGCTTCCCTCTGGCCACCGGCACCCAGGACCCAGGCTTCCCTCGCAGCCCTGGCTTCGTCTGGAAGGTCATCCAGAAGGAAGTCCTATTTAATTAGCATATTACACTTTTATTATTATAGATGTGTCTGCAGACATACTTAATGTTATAAAAATAAAATATTTATATAATTTTACATTGCTGAAAAGTAGAGACACAAACTTTCTAACTAAACACACTTCTAAATTTTTACACAGACTAATTCAGGAAAAACTCTAATATATTATTGGAATACTATTCCTAAGGAAAAGTGAGTGAAGTTTCCTGCATTCTTTGAGATTACATTCTAGCAGAGAAGAAACAGACAATAAATAAGCAAATTAAAATATGAGGTAGTACATGGCCCATTGTCACTATGTTGAGGAATCGAGTAGAATAGAGACAGAAACAGAAAAGGTTGGGAGAACTCTGTGTCACAGGATAGTCTATGACAACCTCTTGGACGAGATGACGTGAGCAGAGTCCTCAAGAAAGTACATGAGTGCCCGGCTGTCATGGCTCAATGGTTGAGTGTTGACCTAAGAACCAGGAGACCAAGGTTTGATTCCTAGTCAAGGCACATGCCTGGGGTTGCAGGCTCAATCCCTAGTAGGGGCCATGCAGGAGGCAGCTGATCAATGGTTCTCTCTCATCGTTGATATTTCTATTTTTTTATTTTTTTAATTAAATCTTTATTGTTCGGATTATTACAGTTGTTCTTCTTTTTTTTTTTCCCCCATAGCTCCCCTCCACCCGGTTCCCACCCCACCCTCCGCCCTCACCTCCCCCACTGTCCTCATCCATAGGTCCAGGATTATTGTCCAGTCTCTTTCCGCATCTCCCACACCCCTTCCCCCCCCCCAAGAATAGTCAGTCCACTCCCTTTCTATGCCCCTGATTCTATTATAATCACCAGTTTATTCTGTTCATCAGATTATTTATTCACTTGATTTTTAGATTCACTTGTTGATAGATGTGTATTTGTTGTTCATAATTTGTATCTTTACTTTTTTCTTCTTCCTCTTCTTAAAGGATACCTTCCAGCATTTCATATAATACTGGTTTGGTGGTGATGAACTCATAGTTGATATTTCTATCTCTCTCTCCTTCTCCCTTCCTCTCTGATATCAATAAAAATATATTTTTAAAAAAGAGAAGAAAGTGCATGAGTAAGAGTGCTCCAAAGTTGTCTGGGCAGGGCATTCTGGGCAGAGAGAACGGTGAGCACAGACATGTTTAGTCAGCGTAGCTGGGGAACAGGGAGGGAGCCAGGGAGGTGCAGAGCTGGAGGGGGCCAGGGAGGGAGGAGTGTGGCTAATAACAAGCTCAGAGAGGTGGGGGAGGCGAGATTCAGTGCAGCTTGGAGGCCCTTAGCGGGACTTTGTGGTCACTCTGCATCCCAGCCCTTTAAGACAAGTAAGGCGAATACTGTTCTCCCAACGCATCAATGAGTAAACACTGGGAGGCCACATGGCCGGTAAGGGGAGAGCCAGGCCTGCAGCCAGGCCTCGTGCCTCCCATGCCAGGTTCTGTACCTACCACATGGCATTGCCCTGACCTTCGGGACTCCCAGAGGTGCTAAGACGGAATCACTGAAATACTTTGTCTTTACGTGAAGGTGTACAAAAAAGTAGCTCAGGGAGAAGGACTACACTGATGCTCTGGTAACTGATAAAAGTTTGGTTTGCTCAGAATGTGGCCGAGAATGTGACCTAGTTAATATCACCCAAATAGCAAATAAAATAGATTTACAGTTCCCTGTGTGCTTATCTGCCCATTTGTCTATCTGTTCTGTGGTAGCTAAACATGAATTCCCTTTCTGAGTCTTAGTAATAAAATAAAATGAGTTTCAGCAGCAGTTCCTAAACAGTGCTCTCAGATGATTGTCAAAAGTAAAGCAAAGTTCTTGAATTTGGTTTTTCTGTGGGAAATTGAACATTGAATTGCCTGTTACATTTACAGAAGACTTTTTCTACCATGGTAATATTAACTTAACTTCACACAGAAATATCAGGCTCTGTGGATTCTTTGCCCTGCGGCCGCTTTTAAGACAAAGTTTATCAATGGCAACATCTTTGGCCTATTGGCCACAGCGATTCTTCATCGCATGAGAATGTTCTGGGCTTTGCAGATCATGTAATATTCCTGACCCCACCCCCAAAGGCCGATGGCAGCTCTGTCTTTGTAACAACCAGAAAGGCCCTGGCACTAAGGCAGTGTCCCTACGGGGTGGCCCTGACCTCCTTGGTGGCCTTCTCTGGCAAGTGCCACTCAACTGTGCAGACTCGGCCACGCGGTGGCCTTACCCGCCTGCCCTGCCCGGCATGCAGAGAAGACTGGGGGGCTCCAGAGGTTATTTTAATGTAAAATCTTAGTATTCAAGTATTTTTCACCTTTGTATTTTTTGATTTCTAGTTTCTCTTGGGTCATGGAGAGAGAATGGGGATGATGAAAATCCTTTTGAGGTTTTTATTAAAATGTTGGGTTCGTAACGAACAGATTGTCTAAATCGGCAGTTCTCAACCTGTGGGTCGAGACCCCTTTGGGAGTTGAATGACCCTTTCACAGGGGTCACCTAAGACCATCAGAAAACACATATATAATTACATATTGTTTTTGTGATTAATCACTATGCTTTAAGTGTGTTCAATTTGTAACAATGAAATTGGGGGTCACCACAACATGAGGAACTGTATTAAATGGTCGCGGCATTAGGAAGGTTGAGAACCACTGTTCTAAATGGACATATAAGCAGGCCCTATTTTCTGCTTCCAGTATAGAGCTGAGGGTGTGTGTTACCCTGTGGACTGTGTTACCCAAATCCTCCATAGCCCTGCTGTGTTGTGGCAAATTGATGTCAACTTCTGAGGGTGATGTAGATCCTCTACCACTGTGGTGATTTCACTTTTTTCTTTTCTTGAGATTTTGGTTTATATCCCATGCTGCTTGGGTGGTTTTTATGAAATAGCTTATAATAATAATAGGAAAAAGAATAATAGCTAACACTTTTTTAGTGTTTATGATAGCTATGGATTTAAGTACTTTACAGATATGAACTAATTTATTTGCCGTCACTGCCCTGTAAGTGAGGTATTAGTATGTCATTCCCACTTTACAGGTGTAAAATTATAATTTTTCATTTATGATTAACTAATATGTTGGATTATATTTCTTCCATCCTCATGTCAGGTGTATAATTTATTGTTTCCCCTCTTTTCCTTTCCTTACTTTTGTTTCCTTAATGAATTTTCTTTTAATTCCCATGTCTTCCACAGAAACTAGCTTAATTTGGATATTCCACTAGCCTCCTGTTTCATTAGTGGCTATATTAACATACTAAACTGTTTTGAAGAGTAACATAAAGTTAATGTGAATTATTGTTAAAGTCACATGATTACAAACATTTTTACATTTTGTAAATAGCTCAGAGGAAGCACTGTGTTTGTGACAAACAGTATGTAATTACTTATTTAGACAGTGGTTTCTAACAGGCGGCACTCTGGACATTTTCAGATAGCGCTTTGCTGTGGTGTAAGGGCTAAGTGTCCTGCACGTTGTAGGACACCTCGCAGAGCAGATGCCCACTAGACGTCAGGAACACCACCCTCTCCAAGTCATGGCCATCAAACAGGTCTCCAGACATCGCAGAAGTGTCCTGCAGGGCGCTATTGCCCTCTGTGACGATCACTGATAGAAGCAGCGAGCTGAAAAGTCTTTATTTGTCCCTGGGTAGACTTGCCCCACAGGAGATGAACATAATGGAAATATTTTCCATCACATAAGTCAGCGAGGCACACATCTTTCGAAGCAGGCAGACAGCGCCATCCTGTACGCCCATTTCCTTCTCAGATTGTATCTCACTGCAGCAAAGGGCACAGCCATCATTTTGTTGACTGCATCCGAATGTAATAATGTTTATCACCAAATCAATGAGCTATTTAGAGAGAGCAGGTCTGAAATGATTTAGCATGCCTTCTTTTTTCAAAATAAAATCCTGCAGTGACAGCTTAGGAGAAAATGTTTAAGATGGTCTGTGTGATATAACCTAATCCTAGTTTCTCTAGTGTCTAAAGGCAAGTTAAAGCCATTTATCCTAGAACCTGTTAGGTTTTTATTTTCATTTATCATTTTGCTGATCTTGAAGAATAATTTTAAATTCAAACTCTATAACCAGTCATAGAAAAATAAGTTATTACAGTCAACTAGGCAAGCATAGATTTTTATTATGACATTATGTTTTCTTTTTTATGTTTACAAGTTATTTATTTTCTTACCAAACATATGAATAGAGTTGCATAGTTAACAGCATGGGGTTTTTTTTTGTCTTTTTTTGCAAAGCTTTTGTTGTAGAATTTATCTAGAGGAAAGGAGTAAAAGACATAAAGATAAAGGTATCATTTCA